GTGTGTCTGATTGGGGTTGGAACTAAACTTTACAGGACACCGGGCCTCCAGGACTGAGTTTGCTTATAGTTTGCTTTGACTGTTCAGTGTTTACGCTTTACCATTGCACACACTTTTCATTTCATTTATCAAGATTAAGTCTCTTTAACACTTGTTTATTTTATTATAAAGAGATGAGATATTTGTTTAAATATTTTTTGACTATTAGAACTATTTGCCTTAGTAATGTTTGTAAATTAAAATAAAGTGGTTAAGTAACAACAAAAAAATCCTAATATTCCTAAATATATTGTTAAAAAAAATTCAATAATTATTGATATCGAATGATATGCAACATTTTATTGTGATTTTTTTTTGCAATATCGCCCAGCCCTACTTCCACTATTAAAGTTTAAGTCTCTTTATGAAACTACCCGATACAATAAAAATAAATTAATAAATAAAATAAATTCATTTTTCACAGCCTAAAAACAGTTTAATGAAAGAATCTTTTGGAAAAGCATAGTGAAAAATCCCCTTTCTTAACCTTTATTTTAAATAGCGCAGCTAACATCAGAATCTAAATAACCAAACTATTTCATCAACACATGCAGAAGGGGTGGAAGCTCTGATGGAATTTTATGAATGACAGACACTCCAGCTCTGTGGAAAGCAAATTGTGTGTGCCAGCTCTTCGTCATTAGAAAATAGAACACATTAAACTTTGATCGGAAAAGGTGGAGAGAGCAGCGTTTTATCCTTAATCCATTCGGTTACCTCTAACATACTCTTTGCATTTCTGTTCAGAGTCAGCAGAACTGAGTCTGGACCGGCCCTAGGGGGGATTCTACACCCTTCAAATGATCTTGAACTGTCCACATGCTCACACATAGACACTCAGGAGCAAAGGGACTGCATGCACACAAGCCCACCAGAAATCCTTTTCTCTATTGATTTTATGGGACCTGATAGCCTTTTCTTCTCCCTCTCTCCGCTCAGAGCTGAGAATAATGCCGTACACCTACAGCCGAAAAAGCCTCAGGAGGTCTAACACGGTTCCTCCCTCTATGCATACATGTGCATTTACAGGCTAAATATGAGTTTGATGAGAGGATGAAATATGCAAGAGGGTAAATGGACAGGGAAAGTCAGTGTGAGAAAATGAAAGGGGGATCGGGTGGACAAAAGAGATAAAGGGATGAGGAATGAGCGCGAGAGAGGCGCAGAGAGAGAGAGAGCGCTTCTGTATTGAGAGCAGATGGTGTTGAACTCGGGGGATTTCAGTGTGCCGAGCTTCTCTCATTATCAAAGCGGCCTATCTGATCTCAGTCAATATCACACACACACACACACGGCTACTGTATATCCCACTGGTCAATATCATGTATACACTCTCAGGTAAAGTACCTCTGATTATCCATCCAGTCAATACCACAAGCTCACAGAGAGGTGCATTCGCATATTGGGACAAATCATGGGACAGGGGAAAAAGAACAAGACTAGCTTAATGACAAACGGCCATAACAAAAAAGCTCTAACACACACACAGACACGAATGCTAACCTATGAAGTGGCGGCAGCAGGCAGGCAAAGCAGGTCGCTTGACGCTCACTCCATCAGACAGGTATTTCCAGTCTGGGCTTTTTAGTAAAGTGTGTGTGTGGAGCGAAGCTTAGCCACAAAAGCAACTGCCAGTAGGCAAACACACCTGGGCTTAAATGCAGCACCTGAGATATTACAGTCCACCCTCTCCGCACATGCAAGCGTAGCCATACCGACTCTGCACGCATTTTATTTTTTTATTTTAGCACGTGTTATGTCATCAAAGCCCTGCTCCTGTCTCGTAACAGTATACGAGCGGTGGCTACATTAACTCTCAGTGAACACATGGCCATGTGTGTGTTCGGTCCCGCCAGCTTGTTGTCTGTCAAAAAGGAAGTGCTCTGGCTGATTAAGCCCATCATGTGGCAGGAAATAAGGATGCCAGAGGCTTGAGCGCTTTATATTTTGGAATTTCCATTCGGCTACACTGAAATCGTAAAGCACTGGGATGCCGTCGGACAGACAGCGCAATTGGGTCAATTATTAACTTAGATCCAAAAGTCAGTGGGAACAATTGTCCCGTATTGTGAGGTGGGGGGCTCTGATCTATTTTGGACTAGTGAATAACAAAATTAAGCATTTAAAACAAAGGAGAAGTCATGGCTTGTGTAATCGAATGAACGCTAGCATGTCTGCTTGTACATGTGCATAACAATCTAATACAATAGAAGATCAAATCGGCTGCTTAAGATGAAGTGCTGCGACTCAATAAGAATGTTTGAATCTATGTGGCGGGATTAGAACATATACATTATATTTATTAATAAATAAACAAGGAGAAGAGCAGTTTGGTTTGACATCCACATAGTCACTAGCTATGTTTCCATTCAAAGAAGCGAATTTAATTTATACGCAAAACAGGAATACTGCATAAAATACGTGTGAATAAAGCAGCGTTTCTATCCAATGAGTCAAAGAGAACAAAATGGTCACTTCTCGATTAACTGACGGCAAATATCAAAAGTAAAAACCAAATTTGCTGAAAGCTGCGTGAATCTTTTTCTTATTAAAACAAATGACTTGCGTCTCAGAAGACGATGCCAACAAGCAATGAACGCAAGGTGGCGTTTGAAGGTGTGAGACACGGAGCTCAGACACACATGACAATCTGGACATAATTAATAATATAATAACATTAAAACTGAGACAGTTAGGGCAGTTTAGAATGACTAAAACAACATTTAAGGTGTTTTACAGTGTGCTCAGCCTGCTGGTTTATCCATTTACACACTTTTATCATCACATAAACTCCTACAACATAATTACATGACTATTAAATGCGCATACTGGAATTCGTTCAGTAAAAGTGTTTCCATCGTGGTTAATGTGCATTTTCAAAATCTATGAGCATTTTAGCATTTCCATCAATCATTTTTCATGCGCATATCCAAAATGCACATAAAAGTAGGTGGACGGAAACTTAGCTAATGTGGTAGCTAAAAGCACTGAAGGTCTGTTGAGTTCTTTACACACAAAGTTTAAGGCTCTGTTTTACAACTGGTATTTAAATGAGAGATTTGTTTACTCCTGGTGTTTTAATCCACTTCTTTTATCGTTTGACCACTTCTTTTAACCACTATCGTGATTTCTTTACAGAGAGGGTCCACTCGTGGGTGTATATGAATCTAATATCACAAAATAAGGTCACTTAAGAGAGCAGAAAGGAATTTTGAGAACTGCAGCTTTCATCTAGCTGCACCAAAAACTGTTGGATTGTGCTAAAATCAGAACTAGTAAAAACACTCTTTTTACGTTTTTTTCACCTTCAAACCAAACTTGTGATTTCAGATGGCAAAGTTTAAATCCCATATGGGTGGTGCAGTTAAAACAGCACATCCTTTAATGTTTAAGAGTTATGCCAGTAGGCAGAGAGTAGGTGGTCTTTTGTGGCTCTTAAACTGCATTTGACTACAGGAGTGTCTACACTATGAAAGCAAATGAGTTTTTCCAACTAGGTCTGGAAGTGGTAGAAAGTGGACAAGCTCAGAGTATTCCAGGCCCTGTACACTATATTTAACATTGTCCACTGGTTCAACAAAAGTGCATCATAATACCAGGTATGAATAGGGCAATCCGGCTAATGAAGAAATCAGAGCTGTCTTATAGACTGCATGCAATTCATAACACATCAATAATATCAGACCAACTTTGTTATATTATAATTAGGGCTGGGCGATAAAAATCGGTATCAGTATTTATTAATGGGGCACCATTGTCACCAAGAATAAAAAAAGTTTGGCATAAAGTTCGGTATGTACCCTATAGTTTTATTAAAATGTCGCTGGTTAGCGAGCACCTTGGTAGCACCTTGTAAGCTTAGGATGCAAGTTTGTCATTTCCAATGAAAACTTGCACGACGCACACAAGATATTTTGTTGAAATATTTTTGTTTGTGACAATCCAAACTACTTTCCTTAGTAATTTTAGTAAATTAAAATAAAGCTGTTAAATATGTTTTTTAAAAAATCCTATTATTCCTAAATATATTGTTGAAAAATATTTAATACAAATATCGAATAAACATTAATATCGTGATGATTTGTTTTTTCAATAATGCCCAGTCTTAATTACAATATTCATATAAAAATACATTTTAGGTTAAATCAACTGACCTTTTAAAATTTGAATACATACATTACTACACATAACACACACATTTGTACTAGGGCTGGGCGATTATTTGAAAAGTAATAGAAAACGACATTCAGAACAAACAATTGATCTGATTTTTCCAGGTCAATTTTTTCAAGTACTTTCACGTGACCCCACTCTGTTAAGACTGATTTAAACTCATTATATTATTATGATATTACGCTTCTGCCAAGTGGACGAGTTTGGTCCAGCACAGCCTTCGCATACCTGTGCACCTCTCCAAAAAAATGTGACTACACGTCACAACAATGTGTAGCGCAAGCTTTGTGATAGGTCAGTTTGGTAGAAGCGACGACAGTGGGCGTCGTAGAGAGCCGCGTTTTATGCAATGTGCGTTTTAATTTCAGTTGTTCAGCATTGATGTTCAATAAATAATCATATTGTAGATAGTGAGTGTGTCCTTCAATTATTTTAAAATCAATTAACGCACCCTACATTCAGAAATCTCTCACTTTAATATGTGAGTATATTTACTGTACAAAACCTGTCAGTGAACTGAGGACAAAAAATAAATAAATAAAACAATCAATCGATATATATGATGAATAGTCCAAAGATGGTTCGACATGGCACCATAGATGCCAAAAAAAAAGACCTTTATTTTAACAACTAGGAGAATTTTCTGCCAGATTTGTTCAAATACAATCACATCTAGGCTACAGATTGTGATGAGACCATGTTCCAAACAATTGTATAACAACATGATGGAGTCAGTATCTCAGTACATGCTTACATTCTATCTCCAAGATTGCTTAAAATTATCTTACCTGCTCCAGAGTTCCTGTGCACTCCAGGCCCTGCGTGTCTGTGGGCACCTGGGGAAAGCATGCTCCCGGGTGGGCGCAGGTTTTCCGTGTGACCATGAGCTCCAAATTGCTGTTGCTGTTGGTGGTGGTGATGGAGGTGATGGTGGTTTATTCCTCCAGCTGGACTTAACGCACCACCGCCACTCCCGGAATTACCGTTCGGGTTAGATAATCCACCATGGTAAAATCCAGACCGCGATCGAGATCGAGTCCTTGGGGGTTCCATAGTTACCGGATGGGGGTGATGATGATGATGATGGTGGTGGTGGTGGAGGAGGAAAGGGGAAGTGGGAGGGGAAAAAGACGCCGCAGAGGAGCTTTCAAGTGCTCCAGAGAGTCTAGTGCTGCCCAGGCTGTGGCCCCCCTCCAAACCCCCGTATTCCGCTGGCTGGGCCCCTGCGTCCTCGCATAAATCAGCACGCTTGGGAACGGGGTCCGGGGAACAGACACGGGGCTCTCGAGACGCTGAATGACCAGTAGTAGCGATTGGCATTTCCTTTCGGCTTATACGATTCTCCCTCTCTCGCTTCCTCCTCTCCGGTTCCACGCCAGAAAACACAGATTTAAAACACTGTTTGAAAAAAAACAAAACACAGGTCAAGTCAAAAAAATTCTTTAAACACACAGTTTAGCCAAATATTAAAAATATATTGAGTTGCTAAAATATTTAATTAAAAAAAACTATCACTATATATGACTAATTTAAAATAAATTGCGGTTACCCATACTTTACTTTAAAAATGTTACAAGCACTGTCAAGTCACAGTATTACTGATTTATTTACTGTTTTTACTACACTTGTTTTACACTTTTTTTCTTTTTTTAAAGAAAACTATTCTGTTCATCAAGGCGGCATTTATTAAATATTTATTTATTGCTTACTGTATGTAGTTTCAAATGAAATTATTAGTCCAGTCATTATTGTTTTTATTACTATTACCATTAATAACAATAATAATATTGTTGTTATTACTAAATCATAATAATAACAACAATAGCATTAATAAATAATTTTAGAGTGATTTCTGAACCATCATGTGTCTCTGAAGACTGGAGTAATGAAGCTGAAAATTCATTTATAAATTAAAGCTGCAAGCAGCGATGATAGGGACCTCGCACCCGGGCTCACCGCCGTCCGGTGGCCTCAGGATGACAGAGAACAGCAAACAATATTAATTTAAGCCGATGTATATAAAGAACCCGAGAAAATCACAAATTTATGTCAAACTTCCTCCTGTCACCAGGTGGCGCTATGACTGTGACTCAAGATTGGCATGTAGATGTCTTCAGTAGAGGAATCTTATCCACCATGTGAATTTTCAGCCAGATCAGACATTGTGTGGCTGAGTTATAAGCCAAACTACCTTCTACCAGCAGGTGGCGCTATGAGAGACTCAATATAATTATGTAGATGTGCACGGGAGAGTACTTTCATCAACCATGTGAAGTTTCAGGCTGATCGGATATTGTGTGGTTGAGTTATAATGCAAACTACCTTCTGCCAGCAAGTGGCGCTATGACTGACTCAATATTGTTCTGTGGATGTGTTCAGGAGAGGAATTTTATCAACCATGTGAAGTTTCAGGCAGATCGGACATTGTGTGGTGTAGTTATAAGGACTTCCTGTTCCATGGCGAAGCGTTGAGGTTTTTCATGCCGCCACGGACACAACCCTCTGCAAAAACTCTAGATCTTCACAATATATCATCGCTAGAGCTTTCAGATGACAAGACCCAATTTTGGTGCTGATACGATAAAATTTGGTGAAGTAGTATGTTACAATGTAAAACATGCCATTTCCTGTGGCCAGCTGGTGGCGCTATAACTGTATCTGGATATTGGCTTGTAAATGTGTTCAGGTCAGGACTCTTATCAAACCTGTGAATTTTGAGGCAGATCGGATCATGCATGCTTGAGTTATAACGACTGCCTGTTTTGTGGCGAATAGTCAAAGTTTGCGAGGCCGCCACGGACACGCCCATCTATAAAAACTCAAAAGCTTCGCAATTTAACATCGCCAAGGCCTTTAGATGACAAAACCAAATTTTGGTGTTGATCGGATAAAATCCCTAGGAGGAGTTCGTTAAAATACAACGCCTGGAAATGGCAAAAATGCCACTTATTCGCCGAAGGAAGTTAAAAATATCCGACTTCCTGTTGGGTTTGAGTTATGGCTCCAAGAGACTTTTTCGTATGTTTTGCCATGTTTGAGGTGTGTGCCAATTTTCGTGCATGTGCATGAATCGTAGATCGGGGGCTCGTCCGTTTAAGTTTTCTAGGTGGCGCTGTCGAGTCATTTTGCCACGCCCACTTCAATATTGTTATGAAGATGTGTTCAGGAGAGGACTTTTATCAACCTTGTGAAGTTTCAGGCAGATCGCACATTGTGTGGTTGAGTTATAAGGACTTCCTGTTCCATGGCGAAGCGTTGAGCCTTGTCATGCCGCCATGGACACGTCCCTCTCCGAAAACTCTAAATCTTTACAATATATCATCGCTAGAGTTTTCAGATGACACCACTCAAATTTGGTGCTGATACGATAAAATTTGTGGGAGTTAGTTTGGTTCAGTGTAAAACATGTCATTTCCTGTGGCCAGCAGGTGGCGCTATAACTATATCTGGATATTGGCATGTAAACGTGTTCAGGTCAGGACTCTTATTAAACGTGTGAATTTTGAGGCAGATCGGGTGATGCATGTCTGAGTTATAACGACTTCCTGTTTTGTGGCGAATCATCAAAGTTTGCGAGGCCACCACGGACACACCCATCGACGAAAACTCTAAAGCTTCGCAATTTAACATCGCCAAGGCCTTTAGATGACAAAACCCAATTTTGGTGTCGATCGGATAAAATCCCTAGGAGGAGTTCGTTAAAATACAACGCCTGGAAATGGCAAAAACGCCACTTTTTCGCCGCAGGAAGTCAAAAATATCCGACTTCCTGTTGGGTTTGAGATATGGCTCCAAGAGACTTTTTCGTATGTTTTGGTGTGTTTGAGGTGTGTGCCAATTTTCGTGCATGTGCGTGATTCGTATATCGGGGGCTCGTCCATTTAATTTTTCTAGGTGGCGCTGTCGAGTCATTTTGCCACGCCCACTTCCGAGGCCCATAATAAACGTAAATTTTCGCCACTTCTGAGGCATGTGCAAAGTTTTGTGAGTTTTCGGGCATGTTTAGCCCCTCAAAACCGCGATTCATTCCGCGGAAGAAGAAGAAGAAGAAGAAGAAGAATAATAATAAACAGAGCAATTCCAATAGGGCCTACGCACCGTTTCGGTGCTCGGTCCCTAATTATTAAATTAAATTATAAAGTACTTTTAAACAGTTATTTTATAGTGCATTAACATTTCACAATTTTACAATTTGTACTGTATTTTTGATTAAATAAACTCAGCCTTGGCGAGCAGAATAAGTTTGTTTTTAAAACATTTAAAATTTCGTCGTGCAATAGTCTAGTGATTAGACATATGGTGGAGTAGCGCATCAAGGTGTCCCAAATTCGAATCCCGGCTCGAGGTCATTTCCCAACCCTATACCCCTCTCTCTTTCTCTCTCTCCCGCTTCACTTCCTGTCTCAATACTTTCTTTTTTAATCATGCTGACCCAAAACTTTTTATTGGTAGCATAAATATGGGATTACAATATATAAAGAAATAATGCAGTATTAAGCTTAGACATTTTTTTAAATATTTGGGCATATCAACATGCATACATGTACACATCTAAGTTGGTTCTATCAATCCATCTCTCACTCTTGTTTAAACAATTAACGTTACCACACAAATATGTCTGTCTGACTATATAATTTTTTTTATCTAATTTTTACTTTTTTACTTAGAAAGTATATATAAAGTTTTAATAAGCTGGTACAATTACATATACAAGACTACAGTTTAATGTACAGACCCTATAACGTTACTGGAAAACAAGACATTTAAACTAATCTACTGACGGTCTATCGAAAGCCTTTTAAATAAATCTTATTCCTTATAGGCGTGTCCCGTTCATTACACACAAAACTATTACAAACAGCAGTAAATAAAGTCAGTCAGACTCTTCGTTGTATCTTCATTTATATTTAAATCACTTTTAACGTTTTTAACGTTACAAACGCCAAACTTCCCAAGCCCAGCCAAGTCATACCAAAAGAGAAATAAGAGATAAAAACAACACGAAACTAGCTGCGACGCTCAAAACAACCCAGCACAACTCAACACGTGCGTTGTGTTTATACTGAATGAAGTAAATAAAGTATAATCATAAGAAGGGGCAGCAGCTGCTTATCAGACACTTCCGTGAAGCGCTAGCGTTAGCTCCCAGCTACACAAAAACACACAAATACACCAATTAAAATACGTCCACCACTCCTCTAACACACTAAACACAGAGATATACTCTATAAAAACAGGCTTACTCCTCTACAATGCGTTTAACTGATTTAAATCACACCTAGAGTAAACCATGTAGATGTATTAGCTTGTATTAGCAGTGAACGTCGCGCTGGCTTTGGTCCACCATCTGCCTTTAGTCTCACAAAACTACCACAAATAAAGCCCTGGTCGTCCTTTAAAACCTCAGGGCCACATGTCCTGAACAGGCCGCTCGTCGCTTATCAGTCCCCCAGGTTTATGACAGACATTTCTTTTTTATAAACTGTGTTTTTGTGACGATCGGCAGGAGCTGAAGCGATGTAAAGTCCCTAATTATATTTACATCAGTGGAAAAAACGGCGAAAAGAGGCTATTTTTCCACTCCTCCCACTCAAACAAAGGCATTTATATATGAGCGATGAAATAAAAAGCGGAACTCACCCGGAGCTGAGTGGAGCTGTGTGTTATGAAGTGTTTTTGAGCTGATCTTTTGGCGTGGTGCTCCTGCGCTCAGACGGTGTCAGTGAGAAATAATGTGACAGACCATCAGCGCGATTTCACAGCTCCACAAAGCAGACCAGAGTAGTCGAGCACAGTCGAGTCCGCGCAGCCCGCCGACAACGCACAGTATAGAGAGGAGACACTAATTTCTCTATTTACAAATAAGACCCACTTCACAATCCTCCATTTTAAAATGAAACCAAAATGAGACTTCCATTTATATTAACTAAAGCCTTAACATCAAGATAAGTGAGCTGTCATTTCAACACAGTAAGTAGTTTGTTTACACGACACAATTTTAAACCTGTGTGTGTGTGAATGAATTGTTGCTTTTTACATATACTTATTCACTTTGGCACAAAAGTAAGCTCCTAAAATCTAAATTTACACACTATTTACTCACCTAAGCTAAACGCACCGGGTGCCTGGAGGGCCGTTGTCCTGCAGGTTTTTTTTCTCCAACTCAACACACCTGCTAGGAAGCTCAAGTGGTTCCAAATCTTTATGGGTTTCTTTTTTAAGTTATTATAGCTTATTGTGTTATTTTACATATATTTTTAGTGTGTCTGAGACCTTGACTTTGCTTTAAGAGCAGTTCAAAAGGATAACACATCAAAAAAAAAAGGTAAATTTACTCTCATTTTTACGCACTCACTTGTGCCGGGTGCCCAAGCTCAGTCCTGCAGGGTCATTGTCCGCAGGGTTTATTTCCAACTTGCCTTAACACACCTGCTAGGAAGCTCAAGTGGTTCCAGATCTTTATGAGTTTCTTTCTTCTTGAATTATGAATTATTATAACTTATTTTGTTATTTAACATACAATTATTAGTGTGTTTAAGACTTAGACTCCCTTTATCCATATAAAAGGGATAGTTCATCCAAAAAATATAAATTTACTCTCTATTTAGACTAGTGCCGGTGCCCAACCTCAGTCCTAAAGGCCGTTTTCCTGCAGGATTTATCTCCAAAATGTCTTAACAAACACACCTGCAAGGAAGCTCAAGTGGTTCCAAATCTTTTTCGTTCACAAAAGAAGATATTCTGAAGAATGCGGAAAACTATTAGCATCCGTAGGAAAAACGATCATTATGGAGATTGATGGTTACTGGCTTCCAGCTTTCCTCGAAATATCTTCCTTTGTGTTCATCAGAAGAAAGAAAGTCAGGTTTTGTACAAAGAAAGGGAGTGCAAATGATGACAGAATTTTTGTTTAACTTTCCGTTAAAGATTATATGCAATAAAGAGGGGGAGCTGTTGTTATAATTTACCCCACAAGAAGAAAAACATTGTCATTGAAATATCAAGTATCCTAAATTGGTTTAACTAATGTCATAAAACTACTAAACATGAAATGATTAAGAGAGCAAATCTGCCAATGAAATATACTCAGATTAAAACTTAAAATCCAACTGCAAATCATACTATTTCTAAAATAAATATTTATATGATACATATTTACAGTACTTTACCATGTGTATCTTGTGTAATTCTTTTTTTTTTTTTACTTTTGTGTCATAGTAGCAGTATGAGATAATTTTGTTTGTGATTATTGTGATTATTCGATACAAAAATGTCGTGAAGCTTAAAGTGAAAACATTTTAAAGTCTTTTTGTCGGATATCTAATAACAATAACATGACTAATTAATTTGTTTTATTAATTTTGCTTCAGCTTCGTGCCTCATTTATTAAGGGTTATCACAGCAGAATGAACCACCAACTAATGCGGCAAATGTTTTACACAGCGGATGCCCTTCCAGCCTCAACCCAGTACTGGGAAATACCCATACACCCTCTCATCTACAACAGCCAACTTAGTTTATTAATTTCACCTATACCGCATGTCTTTGGACTGCATGAACAATCACACAGAAATGCCAACTGGCCCAGCCGGGACTCAAACCAGTGACCTTAATGCTGTGAGGCGACAGTGCTAAACACCGAGCCACTGTGCCACTCAACTTGAATAATAGTAACTATTATTTTAATATGAATTTATTTGTGACATCTAACAATACCTTTAAAAAACAAAATTAATAGAGCTTTATCTATCTTTAATATGTGTGACGGTTCATTCCGCTGTGGCGACCCCAGATTAATAAAGGGACTAAGCCGAAAAGAAAATGAATGAATGAATTATACGTACTGTTTTCTTATTATTGCCACCTCATAGTTTCATAAAGGTGTTTATTTAACTATTTATCAAATGCAACAAAAATAACATTAAAAATTCCAGCTGTTATTCTTATTCATTCATTTATGAACTTAGTGAAGGCATGAAAGAACGGTCCCTTTTGGTACACCTTGAAGCATTAGAGCACAACCCTCAGCGATGCCTGTGGAATCGATCGAGTTTCTATTGCTCTGGTCTAGTTGGAGCACTGAAGTGAATGCAAAATAGAGAGATGCGCCGCTGAAGGGGAAACGCGTGAATAATTTACAAATGTTAGATGCTTCTCCAATTCATCTTGACAACACGCGTAAACTGCCTCCATTCACTTAAATATCCCCTGCACTTTTTCGATTTCTGTAAACGTTTGATTTGCTTGGTCTGTAGTTGTTAACACGGCCCACTCTCTGGGGCTCGCTGGACATTTAAACCCGATCACGCCTCTTGTTGGCCAGTGGACATGGAAATAGAGCAAGGCAAAACAAAGATTGGAGGATTTTTACGAAAGTACGCAGTGTTCTTTAATCACACTCGTATCATTTTAACTTTCATGTGCTTTAGGCTAAAAACCAAATTTCATAAAAGTAGTAGTAACAATGTTAGCTTAAAAAAGACAGTTACACACACAAAAAACATACAAATTATTTGATTTACAAAAACATTTTGAAGGTAAGTGGTTGCAAATCATTAATATGGGCTGAATATACACAAATTAAACGTATTAATGTTCAACTTAATTTGTTTAAATTCAACCCATATAAATAGTTTGCAACCACTTAACTTAAAAACATTGAGTAAATCCAATGAATATTTTTGTTTCAATGTATGCCAACATTTTTATTCACTCCCCATGTGCTTGCTCTAAACCCATTTGCGTTTCTTTCTTCCCTTGGACACAAAAGAAGCTATTTTAAAAATGATGGGAATTGGTAACCTTTGACTTCCAGAGTATGTCTTGTCAAACCTCAAAATATCTTCTACTATGCTCAAAAGAGAAACAAACTCAAAGATTTGGAACCACTTGAGGGCGATTAAATTAGCATTTCGGGGTGAACTACCCTTTTAACATATTTAACCCAGAAAATGTCTCCTTTTTTTTACAGGGGATTCAATGAGCTAACAGATCTACATTTTCATCTCTTCAAGAAGTCTTCAATGAGTCACAAATGGAGCTGTGTGGGTGTGTGAGTCCCATTTTACAATCCACCTTGACGCACAGTTTTTATCTCACTTTCTTTTGAAAACACACTCACATGCGCATCACATGCTTTCCAGAACGTGTGTTTGATATTCATGTAAGCTCCGAACCCAAAGCAAGATCTTACATTGAACTGCACATGGGAAAGACACTACACACTTCTGGTAGGCGTGTTCTGTGGTGATAATTTAAAGATTGGGCGAGAGATGGCAGCAAGAGGGGCTGCTTTGAAAGGAAATATGGGGGAGTGAGTGATAGAGAGAGGGAAAGGGGGATGGGGAGAGAGAGAGGATGGGGGTAGGGAGGTGTGTGTGTGTGTGTGTGTGTGTGTGTGTGTGTGTGTGTGTGTGTGTAGAAGGGGAATCGACTGATATGCCCTCTTATTGGTTTGTTCAAATGGTGGGGGAGGGGCACCCAGCATACACCAGCTGTATGAGGAGAGAGAGGAGAAACAAAGGGTGAGATGGCGAAGGGGGGGCATGGCGTACGTTTCCTCACTAATATTCAGGGATAATTAAAATGCAGGCAGGGCAGATGATTTAAAATGCTGATACGCTCAAATTAAAAATTAACATGCGGTTGGATTCTGATCTGATCTAATATTAATGCAAAAAAACTTGCTTTTAAAGGCATAGTTCACCCAAAATGAACATTCGTCGCTTGATTAAAACCTTTTTGAGTTTCTCTTTATCTGATAAACACAAAAGAGGATGTTTTGAGGAAAGCTGAAAACCTGTAACCATTAACTTCCACTGTATGATAAACAAAACCATAGAAGTCAATGGTTACAGTTTTCTTTCTTCAAAATATTATATTTTGTGTTTATTATATACAAAAAAAGTCAATTAGGTCTTAATCAAGTGACGAATGTTCATTTTTGGGTGAACTATCCCTTTTTTTATCCGTTTTTTGCTTTTATCATTGACTTCTATAGTATTTGTTTGTCATATTGTGGAAGTCAATGGTTACAGGTTTTCAGCTTTCTTCAAAACATCTAATTTAGTGTTCAGCAGATAAAATAAACTTATAAAGGGTTAAAAACACACGAGAGTGAGTAAATAGTGAGTGCATTTTAATTTTTTTTTGGATGAAATCTCCCTTTAAGTAAAGCTTTTATTAGTATTTTGCTGTAGATTTCATTTTTTCCTTTACTAAATTTGCAGTAGTTTTCCCCTTTAACCTTGACCTGGCAGATTTTATTCATCAGGAGATCTTTGTGCTGCAGTGAAATGTGTATACACACATAAGCTAGAGGAAGCTGTGCTTTGCATTATTTATTTAAAGGACAAAGGAATTACTGGAACCCTTTAAAAACCAGTGTGACTAGTCTCAAAAAACACATAGAGAGCGAGAGGGGAAGAGAGCAGACTGGGTGAGAATGAGCGAGAGAAAGGAGGAAGAAAAAAAACACAGGAAATGAGAGAGGGAGAAGGGAGGAGAGCGCCCGGCCTCCTTGCGTTTTAAGCCAAACCAAATCTGAGGGAATTGGCATTGGCCGCTTCGCATGAGAACCGAGAGGGGAGAACTATAAGACTGAAATAAGGCTGAAAGAGAAATGCCAAGAATGCAAAGGCAAGAATCAACACATTTAAGAGTCTTTCGTTCTGCTGGCTGACTCGCTCTGCCTTCTGAACGCAATTATAAACTACCAACGTTTTCACACTGTAAGCCGAAAGCCGGTTTTGATTAAGATGCGTCGACTTGGGTGTTGGTAGTCAGCATTAATTAGTGGAAGACCTGGGTTTAATCGCCTCTGTAGGCTTGTAACATAAAAAAAAACTTGTCTACTCAAACTAAAATGTATGTTTTTACGGTCATTCTTCTAAAGTGATGCATTGTGATATCGCAGCTGGGATATCTTAAGCTGTCTTTGAATATTAGACGTCTCCATTTTGGCTGGGACAGATAAGCTTACTGATTCAGGATTGCTGTTATGTCTTTTGGAGCAGACATAGTGGGATTCTGGTCTAGGCGTCCCGTGCAGTGTCTTCCCTGTTAACATCAGAGATTGAGTGTGTTTGCCAAGTTTCTGGAGCGTATGGTGGAGATTCACTGTCTGCTTTTAAGTTTCTCTGTCTATGGAAGTCGTGCCAAAACCTACTGAGACTTAAACGTTAAAACACACACACACATTCATATATGTCTCAGGCCTGCAGCTCGGTAACTTCACATTATGCCCACATAAACATCCTTTATAACATGTTAATAATGTATGCTTTTTTTCTTTAAAGCTCCATAAAAGCCAAATCTGCATAGTCAAGAATTGATTTGCCAAATAAAAAAGTTCTGATTTAATTAATTAGCCATTGACTTACATAGTATGTGGTTTTCCTACCATGAAAGTGAAGTGTAACTGGTTTCCAGCTTTCTTCTTATTTTGTGTTCAACAGAAGAATGAGATTCAAAGGTTTGAAACCACTTGAGGTTGAGTAAATGTGCACGTTTGGGTGTTTTATCCCTTTAAAGAGCACATATGATGATCTTTTGTATAATTATTTGGACAGAACTGTGTATGTATAGTGTGTTCACAGTCATATTGGGGTGATATAAACACAATAAGTCAGTTTTTTTTAATTTCTTGACAGTAAAATATGATCCAAATGCCTCCCATTTTGAGCCCGACTGGAATGTGACGTAGGAGTGTGGTTTCCTCGCCCACCGAGTTGATCGACAGCCGCGTATTAACGTGTCTCTGTAACGTGTATAATCATATTAACAAGAACGAACGTGCGCAAAGCAACTGGGATCTAAATATCTGTTCAGCTGTCTGTGATCATCAAGCAGCAAATGTGATTAAGAATGAGTTTTACAAGTTTAATACATTTTTAAAACAGTGCATGTTTGGAATAATGTAAGTTGTAGACGGTTAAATCACCACAGCCACATGTCAGTACAATTATAAAAGAACGTCGCTGACGTTCACCTCTCAAAAAAATGTAACTTCACGTCGCAACGACGCGTAGCGCAAGCTCTGTGATTGGTTGGCTTGGTAGCGCTGATGAGTCTGGGCGGGACCGAGAGCCGCGCGAATGGTGCGAGCCCAATGTAGCAATTGTTTACAAGTGTGGATTCCTGTGAAGTATGGCGAGTTTTGTTTTGTGTTTACCTCATAGTTAAAGTTGTTGCACGTCCGCCGGTTCCTGCCTCAAAATGAGCAAGTTTAAGCCACTTGTATATTCAGGAAGCGTTCAGGAAAAGCAAAACACCAGCGAAGAAACTCGACACAGAAGAACATTTACACCTCACTGCCAACTAGCGTTTCGGAAGTGTTAATGCAGACCAACAGAGACAGCGTGCAGAAGTATAAATGCACAGCCACGCACGTTGCATGGGCCGTGGGTTACGCCGGTCAATTGACGCAGAAGTATAAACCAGGCTTTACTTTCGTGGATGAGGAAACTGTGTAGTAAGCAGTCAACTGAAGACATTCTTTATCCTATCAACATATTTAATTTTGTTTGTTAAGTGCAAAGATTTGTTTCAAAACTATTAAATTCAGTTCTAATTTCCAGCAAACGAATAAATTAACAATAATAACAAAATGTGGTAAAAAAAACACACTTATTTTCAAAGTTATATGTAAACACACATGCTCGATATGCTGATGCATACGTCTCCAAAACCAACACAATCTCACAGCAATTTGTCATGAAAATGTCAATTTTGTAACATTGTAATTCTTTTATTTTTTATATGTGAAGAAATGTGTGTATTGCTGTTCATCCTGTGTGTATATAGCAATGTGTACATGTTTGGACCCACATAGCTGCATAATTAACACGCTCTGCGCTCATTTAGACATAAGACCAGCTTTTAGTTGGTCAATAACACAGTCTATTTCAGTTCCTTTAAAATATCAACACACCCACAATGCGCCTTAACACACCTCGTTTTTTTAGACCAGCACGCCCATGAGTCTACAAAGTGGAGCAAATGCACCTGCAATTTAAACAACATGGTGCAAAATATGAAAAATGCGAGTTGCGCTGGTCTGAAAATAGCAACAAATTGAGCCAAACGCGTCTTGCGTCGTATTGTGAGGAGTGTATGATAGGGCCCTCAGAGTCTTATTTCTATTGATGCATACACTGTATTAATCACATTTTCATAAATCATCAAAAATATGTTTTGCTTATAATTTTTCCTTCGGATTGATTTGTTGTTAGGTTAAGCATTCCATTTAAAATGTTGGGGTTTATATTTGGTTCATATTTGAACAAATTTGAGTTAAAACAACACAGCATTTTAGAGTCTATATTTGAAGTCAAAGCTTTCACTGTTAACCAAAACAGTGACACACTTAACCCCAAATTATCTGACTCAATTTGTCTCACATCTACCATTTTGGGATTCTTCATTTAATAATTCATGTTGTCAGGCAAATTACAAAAAATAGTTGTCCTTGGCATTTTAGCATAGCATGTATTTAGACCGGAACAAATGTAGCCAAATTTCTCCCAGTCCCAGGCTGGAGTATATGATGAGGACTTTCTAAATATGTATTCACGTGGCAAAGATTACGCTCAGTTTGCTTGATTAAGAGGGCGACACAGCTTACCCTACTCTCCTGTACTCCTATTCTATCCCCTCTCCTCGATTTCTCAGCCAGAAAGAAGAGGATTTAGGCAGTTTTTTTCAGAGCCAAACTAAACCAGCATGAAAAAGGACAGAAAGAGAAGCCCTCCCTTCCTCTAACCCTGTTTTGCTCTTCTCTGTGTAGTTTGGCAGTAGACATTAGTGTGTATGTGTGTGTGAGTGTGCGGTCTGTGTGAACAAGCGCTCATGTGGACAGGGCTCTGACTCCGCTGTTTGGTGAAGTTCCCAGTAAGGCTTGATGGGAAATGTTTTTTTTTTATCCCTCACTGAATGAAGTTGGTTCAGTCTACTGTAGAAAAACCATTGGATCAAATGCTCAAAAAAAAAAAATTAAAGACTGATGTTTACCAGCCTGACAGAAACCCACTTTATTTACCCTTTATGTG